AATACCTATATTGATTTAATTTTGGTTCAATTTTTCACGTTAAAAGCCAATAAAAACCAAACTATTAAACTATGAAGACAATATATACGCTGCACATAAGCACATATGACGGACCAATTCCAAAAGAATTCATCCAAGTTATCTTACCAACATTCAAGAAAACAAGCTCGAATCAAATTTAAATCCACTTCATCTAATTGTATATGATAAAGAATAAAATGATACACTCTATCCCTTGTTCAATTTTTGCATATAATTTTTGTCAATGTCATGTTCTTATAATATTATTGTATAGGTATGAATTAGGGCCCATTTGGTTCGCTAATTTGAGTTTTTAATTCGAGTTGAGATGTGATATTGTGTGAGAATTTTTTACTGTAGCAAAAAGTTAGATGTGACTGTTTCTGAGAATTTTTTACTATAGCAAAACTCGAATCTGTGAAAAGAACGGGGTCTTAGTATTTATATTATTTTTTTACACGATGATAAAAAAAAATAAAAAAATTAAAAAAAACACAAAAAAGAAGGAGAAAAAAGTGCCATCATATGGTGGGTTTAATATTTAAAACTAACGAGATAATTGAGTTTGAAGATGGTAAACTATTGTTATTTTGTTTAAATTTAATGAAGCAAGAGCTGATGAACTACATAAAAAAAATGATAAATGGTTGCTTTTGTGAGACGCACTTGTGTTTGTTTGAATTATTTATTGTCAAACCACCTAAAATAGTTCGATTTAAAAAAAAAAAAAGAAATAAAAAAATAATGAACTAGACCGATTGATGGGCCCCACTCTCCAACTCACAAGTAATTAGAATAATCAGATTGCAAAAAGTATTATATATACATGTATATGTATTTATATATACTTCTGGCGAAGCTCCTACCCTAGGCATGCGTTCTTGTATCATATATATATATAAATATATATTAAATATCTTAAAATAAATGCTTATACATAAAATTAATCAAAAGTTTATACATAAATTTCTTCTTAAAAAATTAAAATATTATATAAATTAAGTTGTGTTGACCTTCAGATTAAAGGAATCTGTCCAAACCGCGATTGTTCCTAACTAGCTGAAATTGAGGTCTCCACATGTTTTTTCGTCATACACTTATTTTATAATATATATATATATATATTATTTTATATATACATATTTTATACTATAAAAAACTGCATAATTTATCCTTAATAGTATATGAATCTAAATTTTTACCTCATTCTTAATTTATATTCTTTGATTAATATAACTATTTAACTAAAAAAATTATTAATAAAAAATAAAAAATAAAATCTTAACTCATATACTTTTAAACTGTAGTTATCTTCTTTCCTCTGCATACTATTACTATAATAATAAGCAAGTAATAATAAAAAGATGAACTCAAATTTAAAGCATATAAACATCACACTCCAATCTCCATCATCACCAACCGCCAAAGAATTAAAGTATAACATAAGATAGTTATATAATCAACATTTTCAATATCATTCTTGAGTATTCTAATTATCCCTAATTTTTGAATTAATCACATGACCAATATATATGTCAGTTAAAAAAACATATAATTGTAAGTTAGAAATTTTGAAGGTTAAGGCTGTTTATTTTACTAATTTGAGTTTAAAATTTAAATTTTATTACAATAAAAAATTTTAAAAAATTATCACATTTAATTTTTTTATTATAATTTAAAATTCTCACATAAAATTATATTTTAATTTAAATTAATAAATTAAACGGAGCTGATGACACGTTGGATGAGGTGGCAGGGTATGGTATAGTGAGAAGTGGGAATTTTTCAGCCGCCATAATAGTTCTGTCATATGATTCAGGTTGGCGCGTGTCCAGCTGCCATCTATAGTTCCCAACTTGCCCAATAAATACGAGACACGTAAGCTGTAGACAAAGGACTTTTGACTTTGATTCTCTTTCTCCCTTATCTTTTAGCTTGAACATTTTTTTATTTTTTTTATCAGCTGCTCGAACAATAAATTGGAGGATTCGTTTTGGTTGATTACCACGGACCGCATAGGCTAATACAAGACGTAATTAATTTCATAAATTAAAATTAATCTCGCTCATTTGTAAATTATTAGGCACAATCAACGAATATGTGAGACCATTAATCACTTAAAAGTACAGTAAATTCATAAAATAATCAACAATAATAGAATTTGATACTTATCATTCACGAAACTACATAAAAAAACAATCATATTGTAGTCCCGGTTCGATGTTTTCTAAACACATTAGTAAAGGCCCCAAATTTATTCATCAACTGTGAACCAAATAAAAGATCGTTCACTTCACCGATTCGAGTTTTCAGTTTTAGGTTTGTACAGTAAAAAGTTCTCAGAAAATGTCACGTCTAACTTTTTCTGTTATAGTGAAAATCTCTCAGTAAATGTCACATCCCAACTCGAATTAAAAACTCGAATCCGTGAAGTAAACGAGTCCTTAATATACATAACTAAAGGACTTATAACATATAGGAACCTTATGATATTTACTCGTATATATAATATTAAACAATTGATATACAAATTTATTAATAAAATGTAATACTTTATCTATCATAGTGTCTTAAAAAGCATTCATCCGAATATGTCTTCTTGATATTTTGTAGTAATAAAATCCACATTTATCAAAATTATGCTATTTACTAACTTTTATTTAAATTTATGCTATTAATTTTTTAGTAATGTCATGTGAGTTGTTATCTTTTTATTGATAAATATAATCTCTTTCATTAATTGACGTGGTAATATTTTAAACATCCATCAATATAAAAATGACAATTCACATGGCACATCAGTTGATATACAAAAGTTGAGATTTTAGTTGATGTCCCTAATATTATTCTTAATTTTTATTCCCCCTCTTACTAGTTTTCTTTTCCTCTTACTAGTTTTCTTTTCCTCTTCCCCCATACGAGTGGAAAAAATTTTGGGCGGAAATTTTTGGACAAGTGATCTGAGTTCTTTCACCGTTATACATATATAAGACTGTGCATCTCCTAATACCTTTACCATGTCAAGACAAACATAAACTGCAGATCATATCATTATCAAGGTCTTGTTTCTTTCACCGATTTGAGTTTTCAATTCTAGTTTTGTTACAGTTAAAAGCTCTCACAAAAAGTCACATTTAACTTTTTCTGCTATAGTTAAAAGCTCTCACATAAAATCACATCTCAGCTCGAATTAAAAACTTAAATAAGCGAACTGAACGAGGCTCAAGATTGTAGTTGGACATGTCACAGTATTCAAGAGCACAGAAAAGCCATCAGTTGCTGCAAGACACTGTTATTGACAGAGGACCCACTGAGTTTTACTTTATCTCCAGAAACACTTAAGCCACCGCTAGTTCAACTGTCATTGGAGGAAGTTTCATAATTTTTTTTGGGTTAAATCTAAAAATAGTTCCTGAATTTTGCTATCAACTCTAGTTTAATATGTAACTTTTAAATGTTTCAAATTTGATACTGATCTTTCAATTTATTTCAATTTTAATCTTTTTTATGAGTTGGGTGTTAAAATATAATAAAATATGAATGATATTCAGTCAACACGGTATTATTTTACATTTTTTCGGTCAAAATCGCATTCATATGCCTTGTTCTATCCGTAGAGAGTTAGTTCTATCAACATCATGATTCATGTCACAGTATTCAAGAGCACAGAGAAGCCATCAGTTGCTGCAAGATACTATTATCGATAGAGGACCCATTGAGTTTTACTTTATCTCCAGAAACACTTAAGCCACCGCTAGTTCAACTGTCATTGGAGGAAGTTTCATAAGTTTTTTTGGGTTAAATCTAAAAATAGTTCCTGAATTTTGCTATCAACTCTAGTTTACTAACTTTTAAATGTTTCAAATTTGATACCGATCTTTCAATTTATTTCAATTTTAATCTTTTTTATGAGTTGGGTGTTAAAATATAATAAAATATGAATGATATTCAATCAACACGGTATTATTTTACATTTTTTCGGTCAGAATCGCATTCATGTGCGTTGTTCTATCCGCAGAGAGTTAGTTCTATCAACATCATGATTCATATCACAGTATTCAAGAGCATAGGAAAGCCATCAGTTGCTACAAGATACTGTTATCGATAGAAGACCCATTGAGTTTTACTTTATCTCCAGAAACACTTAAGCCACTAGTTCAACTGTCATTGTAGGAAGTTTTATAATTTTTTTTTTTGGGTTAAATTTAAAAATAGTTTCTGAATCTATCAACTCTAGTTTAATCTGTAAATGTTTCAAAATTAATATTGATCTTTCAATTTATTTCAATTTTAATTTTTTTTATGAGTTAGGTGTTAAAATATAATAAAATATAAATAATATTCAGTCAACAACGCGGTATTATTTTACATTTTTTCAGTCAAAATCGCACTCATATTTCTATCCTCAGAGAATTAGTTCTATCAGCATCATGATTCATGTGCATATTAGGGATCAACTTTACGATATTTTGAAAAGTTAAAAATTAAAATGAAATTAAGGATTAAATTCAAGGACTTTGTTTCTTTCCACGCATTCTGCAACCGCAGAGAATGACCAAAAGGATTCACTCGTCCCATAGAACTGAAATTCAAGACATCGAATCTGGTGCAGCCGTACAGACTGCAAAAGCAGCATCAGACGATCCCACAAAATTTGTACTCGCGCAGTTGTACTCTCCCCCATGGAACTAGTAACAGTATATATTATTTTAATACCATCATTTTCTTATTATCCTATTTTATTTTATTTTTCGTTTCTTAAAGGATATCCAACGGCTAAAATTATAAACTGAATTAAAAAATAAAATAAAATAAACCGCATAAAAATAACATCTACCTCGCTCATCCACACTTTCATATGTTTATTTATTATGTATCTTGCTGGAAACGGAAAACAAGAACACTGGTAGATCAATAAAACTGATTTTGAATAAACCAAGATGAAGATTCGTAATATTTACAAGAAAAAAGCATTTCAGCAAATAGGTAATTAACATGATAACTTCAAAGTTCAAGCCTAAATGTAAGTTTGAAGATAAAACCATTACATACATAGAGGTATATGTAAATAATATTTAACAGCCCAACACGTTAACTTAAGCAACAAGAAAATGCCCCAATTTCTCAGCAACAGAAAATAACTGGGTCGGATTCTTTCCTGTCCCTTATTAAAACCTACTTGAAAAAAGCAGCAAAACCAACTAGACAAACCTATCTCTAGAAACATAAAGTTGCAGTTGAAAAACGAAGTTCCTCTAAAGTATTAAACATCTACAGAAGTTCAACAAAAAACTAGACAAATAAACCCAGAAAGATCCAATTGATGCAGAGCAATGAAAAGATGAGCTTCCACTTTGAGAATTATACTGCCATTATCCAAATATTGTAGCAGTCAAGCTAAGAAAGCCTTAAGATAGACTTCTGTTTCAGAGGTACCAGAGCGAGACGTCTTGCTTTGGCAGAGAATCCACAGGAAATTCAACTGGAGCCATGTTAAAGGGAGAGCTGAATCTTAAGTCTACAATATTATCGTTCGGATTATTATCGAATGGGGAATCAAATGCCTTGCACTGATCAAACTGAACCTCGGTTGATGGGAAAACCGCATTCTGCGATGAGATGTTAGCTTGCTCGGGGATGTTGCCTCCCATAACAACTCCCTGACCGAAATAGCTATCGTCAATCTGGAATTGATATTTTTGCTGCGCTGGGTTATGGTTCTCCATAGCATTAAGGGTCCCAGGATTCAAGTCTTTGCTCCTCTGCTGCGCATTATTATCATAGAAGGACATAAGGTCAGAGATCATCTTCTGTCCATCTTCTGGCAGATCGAGGCCTGTAACATTGAAATGAGATGTCTGGCTCATCGGCTGAGGACCTGGCTTAGGTTGAGAAAAGGGTACGGGGAAGACAGCTGGCTTTTCATTGTTAATCTGAAAGTTTGACATTCCAAAAGGTTGGCAGGAATTGGGACGGTATGGGCAATTCATTTGGTGATTGTTTCTGGAAGTCCTGTCAAGAAAGCCAAGACGGTAATCATTATATGGGCACTGAGAGTATTCACAGGTGTATACCTTCTGATCCAGCATCATCGTTGCCTCTTCACTGAGCTGCTTCCGCTTTTGAACAAAATCTGTGTTGGTTTCAATGAGCTCTCCCTTAATCTGAGGAGCAACAACTGGTTGCATCAGAAGCCTATCTCTTGGTGAAACAGCCCCAATATTGAAGCGATTGATATCACGAGGCTTGCACTCCTCCACTTCAAAATTAGGTTCACCATCCACCCCTTCAACATCATAATCACTGGTCTCGCTTATTACAAGAGAACCACTCCCACCAGCTGACATAGGGGGACATCTATCGGGGTATAACTTTCGGGCTAAAGCCTCTTCCTGGTTTATAATGGCCAGCCAAGTAGCACTCTCCTTGGCAGTCATCTTGTCCTGCAAGCATTTCGACTGACGAACAAGCTTACGAATCTTTGCAATGTCCGGAGACATGTGCTTGATCACAGCTGTGAGGACACTCACCTTCCAAGCCTTTTTCAGATCATGAGGTTTTTTGTATGGAGGTGGCCCCTGATCCTTGGGCAGACCCAATTGCGGCCACCATTCCTCATTACCAGTAGGCCACCATGGTGGGGAAACACCTTTCTCCAGCGGGAAACGCCTCTGGGGAGGATCACAGTGCTGCATCAAAGCAGACAAAAGTGAGCCGAGGGTGGTGTCTTGTAGCTCCTGCAAAGTGTGAGGAGTCGATGCCACAGCACTGCAGTCTTCGTTATGACCAGGGATTGAGTGATCTGCCTGGTACTTAGCTATTGCAGCCGGGCCATTTCGATCAAATCGTACTTTTTCCTTCCACCAAGCACGGAGATTGTCAGATGCACCAGTAACCGGTTTTCCCTTCTCGGGGATAATACCATACACAAAGCCTTGAGCTTTACAAACTTCCATCATTTTCAGCATGTACTTCAAAATCCCATCCTGAGCCCTTGACATCTTCTTCCTCCGTGCTTGCTCCTGGGATTGACGCTGCTTCGCGTTGTCAGCTCCTTGCTTCCCCTTATTTTGCTCCTTGAGCCGCCTCAATAGCATCCTGTCCCGCCACATCCTTCTCTCAAGTTCATCAACATCCATTTCTTCATCACTATAATCCTCTTCCACTGTTGCCTCTGCTTCATGCTCCATAACCTCCTCTCCTTCCCGAGGAGGAGCAGAAAGAAAGTCAAAATTACCAGAAAACCCCATTTCTTCAAAAATTCCCATTCAGCACACACAAAAAGGAAATCCCAAAATGTGTGTGAACCAGTTATTTCAACACAAGGTCAAATCTAAATATAACCTTCTCCTTGTTCCTTTTCAGAACTCAATACTTGCCCAAATATATCACTTGAAACGAAAGAAATCCAAGGGTTTCTTCTCTGGGATCCTCAACTCCGAAAAGTTGCTCGGATCTGATCTCCTGCAATCTGAATCAATTGAATAGAATTTAGCGGAGAAAAGAAAAAATAATAACACGTACCCTAAAAACATATCAGATACATTGGATACATAGCAAGAACTTAAATTTAATGCAAGGAAACTGGCAAAAAGCTAATAATTACGTTCACACAAACACAACTGTGACTTAAATGGAAAAGAAAGCCCCGTCTAAATGAGCAAAACATAACTAAAACAGCATAAGAAAACAAAACAAAATAATTAAACAAAAAGAAAAATTAGAGATGTCACCTAGGTTTATCATCAACCACAAAAATATACGTTAGAAGTCACTATAAGTTTGGCTTCCCAGGCTGGAAAAAAAATAAAAATAAACCCAGTAATTACACAAACAATTACCGTGAAATAACTTAAGAAGCAGCAACAGAAGAAACCTAAGAAGAATAAACCTCAAACAGGATTATCAGAATCATTTGAATCAGAAGAGCCATTGATGAGGCTAAAGAGCAAAGAAAGTCCCATACTTTCGCTATACACAAACAAATCTCTTATCGCCTACACAACAAGCTTCCCAGCAAAACTTTTCTTTTTTTGTTTTTTGTTTTTTTCATTTCTAAGCAACAAAGTTTCTCTTTAGACTTCTTTTTGACCAAGCGATTACGCAAACAATATCTGATCCGAGAATCTCGCGCTCAAACCAGAGCACGCTTAGCTAGCCGCCTTCTACCAAACAGAAAATTGGATCGAAAACCCGAAATGAAAACCACAAACAACAACGAAAACGAAATGACACGATTCACCAAATAAAACGCAGAGACAAGATTTCGATCCAAACAAACATAGATCTAACAACAGCGAAAACTAGCAAATCATATTCAAAATCTCAAGTTTATTCTTAAAATTAATATGTTCGTAAACAAGAAGAAAAGGATTTTAATCGAAACTGAAAAACATAGAAAACTAACAGTACCAGATGATGATTATTTGTAGCTGGAAGCCATGGAAGTTCTTTGAATATGATTCTTCCTCTTCGTTCTTCCCTTCTTCACCGAAAACAATAAAAAGATAGAAGAGAGAGAGGGGGAGAGAGAGAGAGAGGAGAGAGAATCAGAGGAAGAAGAAAAGAAGCAGCACCAGCAACTTTTTTTCCTTTTCTTACTCTTTTTTTTTTTGGGTTGTGATTTCTTTTTTCTTCTTGTTTTATATATTCCTCTTTTTGTGTCAAAGAAAGGAAAAGACTGAAGAGTCGCAATGAACCAGGGTGAAGTTAAAATTCTAACTGCGGTTAAGTCGTGTACTGTGCGACCTTTTTCTTTTTGGATAGAGAAGACTTTTTTTCTTTCTTTTTTTTTTTTTTTTTAATTTCTTGGGATTTTCTTGTGTCTTCTTACTCATTCCCAAAACAAAAGATACTTCACCTCTAATTTGTCAACACGTTAAGTTGTTGTCATTTTTTTTTCTTTACTCAAAATTGTTATTTATCTTGGGTATAGATAGAGGCACGTTTATTTATTAAAAAAAATTAAGTTGCAGGTAATTGTAATTGTCATATTTTACATACATTTCTGAAATTAGAATGAAAATAAATGTAATTACAAAAATAATTCTCCATTGTATTAAAAAGTTGAGCAAAGTTGAGCATATTCTAAGTTAAAAAAAAAAAGTATTTTGAAGGTAACTTATTTCTTATTCTGATTAAAAATTTATTACGAAAATAGATTTTTTGTTTAATTTTTAGTATCTCATTAGTACGTTGACAACCACGTTGTATGGGGCTGCATACATGCGTTAGCTTGATGTTAAATATGGCGCCAAAATTTAATAAGCAGTTTATACGTTAAGTACTACGTATTTCATTAGTTCGCGGAAAAAGGAAATTAGCAAGAGTAAGTTTGTGTTATTTTGTCTTTTACTCATATGTAAGCATTTAACAAAATTATCGAGCCTTTACTTATTGCCAAAAAAAAAAAGAAGAAAAGAAGATCTTATAACTTTTCAAAGTATAGAGACTATGCTGATACTTGAGCAAAGTTTTTATATTTACATTTTCCTAACATTCTCTTAAATGTTGATGTTAAATGACATGTATAGAGGTGAATGTTTAAGTTATCCAGTCTTACGTAGGTTTGAAGAGAGTTTTTAGATTGAGCCACGTTGTTTCAGCCCTAAAAGAATTAAGGAATGCCCAACACGACCCTAAAGCCTAACGAACTAAGGTCAGGTCGGACTGCACATTTTAAGGGTAATTTTTAAAAATAAAAATATTTTTGAGACTAAACTATCGACCTCATCTGAACAATAAAGCGAGTTGAACCGGGCCATTAGTGACATGCTTCGGGTTTAGCCCGTTTGGTCCCGTTTAAACTTGCTCGTTTAACGACACTAATTAAAAAAAATAAGATGATCTAGATTTTTCAAAGTTTAAGGACTAGAATAACACTCTAAGTCAAATTTTAGGGTTAGATGATTGATTTTATTCTTTTATATTTGCATGTTCTTATTTACACTAGTTTTTAAAACTAGTGTTATACTGTAAATAAGAATATTTTCATCTTTCATCGTGCATTGAGAATATCTATAGAATGAATTATTAGAGGATACTACTTAAGTAAAAGGCTTATTTAGTTAGATTGTATATATCAATTTAGGTGATATAGTTTACTGTGGATAATTTTATTGGGTTGACTATTTGTAACCAAAAAAATAAAATTATGTGTAAAAATTCAGTTGAAATTATTAGTCAAAGTAAGAATAGTACTTAACGAAAAGCCACACGTTTTTTTTTTTTTTTTTTAAGTGCCAACCATTCTCTTATAGACTTTTTTTCCCTATAGATTATTTATCTTTCATTTACGTTGCCCTGCATTTTTTTAATGAGTTTTTATTTGTTATCCTTACAGATTCTACCTACTTACATATCCAATGACGCAGACAATGAAGTTGGAAGAAGGGTTATGGCCCCCTATTTTTTTTTTCTTTTTTTAGTATAGTAGTTTTAATTTCAATATAGAAAGTATGTGTATAAATTAGACTTGACCCCCTTAAATTAATAGTTCTCTAAATTTAATAAACAAAAATTTTGACCCCTATCAATAAATCCTGGCTACGTCAATGTAAGTACATGACTTATTAAAAGTACTCATTTAAAAAAATTATAATCATTTTTTAATTTAAAATTAAAAATAAAAATATATAGACTAATATTAAGGGGTAGAAATAAAAAAGAACTCCATTTCAAGAAGTATGTGTAAAAATTGCCCTTCCCCTTAATATTGTTCATCTACAAAAATTTTACTACAAAAAGTGATGCACAAAACAATCATTCGATATTTTTCTCGAGCAACTTATGTCTTTCAAAAAGGAACAAGTATGATGGGAAATTAATGTCTCAATTCGTAACCCTTTTTTCACATACAATCCACAGATTGAAACCCCCTTCAAGAAAAAAAAAAAAAGATTATTCATCAATCAAAAGGAAAAAAGAAAAAAAACAAAATTATACAGGAGTCTCATTGTTTTCAGATATGAATCACACAAGACATTTTATATCATGACAAACAAATTAAGCATAGTGCATAATTCTCCGAATAGGAAGGTTTTTTTTTTTTTTTTTTTTTTTTTTTTTTTTTTTTTTTATTACCAATTTCAGTTACTATTCTATTTCCGTTATCATTGCAATATTGCCTTTATTTTTATGGTGAGGAAGCAATTAATTAGCCCTTCAAAAAAGAGAAAGCAATTAATTAGCTCTCAAGGAAAAAAAAAAAAAAAGAAAGCAATTAATTATCCCTAAAAAAGAAAGCAATTAACTACTCAAGAAAAAAAAAAAAAAAACCGAAGTTTGTGCTTAATTAATTACTCATCCAATTACCGAAGTTTGTGCTTAATTAATACTCATCCAATTAGGGGAACGAAACTGTAGTAGTAGAATATACCATAATACAGTGTCAGTATATATACATAGAAAATTTGCTGAAACAAATAAATTAAAGGGAAGCCGACAAGGACGGCGTGACAACGTGCGAGATAGCGATTATGTTAAAAAAAAAAAAAAGGATTAAAAAGAGCTCCTGAATTCGGAAGCCTAGCTTCGTGAAAGATGTCAATTATACTAAAGATTATTTTTATAAATGACCCAACCATATTTTAAAATACCTTTTAATATTTTAAAACAGTTTAAAACACCTCAATATATATATATAAATAATCATAATGCCCTTTGCATCTTTGATGACCGTGGTCCGTGTCTTAATATTAAAACATTAAAATTCAATTAAGATGAAAATAATATAAATTTGTCCCTAAAAAATAATAAATTACTAAAAAATTGAATTTATTTTCTAAACTATTTCAGAATTATTTAAAAATTAAGAATCTATTTAATTTATTAATTTAAATTTTTAATTTAAATTAATATATAATAAAAAAATTAAATATAATTATTTATAAGAATTTTTTATCGTAATAAAACTTAAAATACTTAAAATCAACGGCCCAAATCACTTTTAAAAAAGAAAGAAATAAACTTCTCGGATTTCCTAAAAAATAAAAATAAAAATAAAAATAAAAATAAACTTCTCAAAACTGAGAAAAATCGGGCAACCCCGGTGCCCAGCCTCGCCTCCGGCCCTCTAAACCACCGGCGCTTCTTAAACAATCACCTCTGCCATCCACCTCTGAGATCTAATCTCAACCGAGCCAACAATCGCCAAACTCCGCCCACCCCACAGCCTCCAAGATCTGCTCCCACCTTCCTCGCAACTCACCCGCAATATCCCGGAAATCCTCCTCGGCAACCTCGAATCCCAATTCCCAAGGCTTTGTTGTCACTCGGGGCAACAATCACAAATTGCAGTCACAAATCACGAATCGCAATCACCTCACGGCCCTGTCACGAACCTCCCCGCCTCGATCTGCCTCACCTCGCAAGCCCACCGTCAAGCGAACAGCCGCCGCATCTCGCTCACCCCGCAAGCCTTCCACAGCGCGATCAAATCTGGAGTGAGCTTCTGTAACTTCTCCGGTGAGAGTGAATAAAGAAGAGCGAGAGAACAGGGAGGTGAGAGAGACAGATCGTGAGTGTTTTTTTTTCTGGAATTATGTTTTTTCGTGTTTTTTTTTTTTTTTTTTACAAGAAACAAAGTGAAATATTTAGAATTGATATTGTTTTTATTTTTTATATTTTTTTAAAAAATAAAAACGTTTTTAAACAGTATTTGATGTAATAAAAATAAAAAATAAAAAAAAGAATGGTTTTTAATTTAGTGTAAAATAAAAAAAATGAAAAATATTTTTGATTTTTGATTTTTTTTTCTCAAGTAAAGAGAGATATTAATAAATTTTTTATACTGAAAATAATTTATTAATAAAACTATCAAACGTATTTTTAAAAATAATTTAAGTTTGAGATTAAAAATATTTTTATTTTTATTTTTATAAAAAAATAAATTTATTTTAAAATAAATTTTAAACACGCTTAAATTTTTTTGTTCTTATTTAATCATTTTGATGTGTTTTATTAGAACTTAACGGCTCTAATTGATAGTTAATATACACCGGGTCAGTAAATCTATGTGCTGCAGACGGATTTTAACAAGAAGAGTAGTTTGATCGTATATATTAAAAGGTGTTTTGAATTTTTTTTAAAAATTAAAAGACATTTTAAAATAGAGTATATAGGTTGGGATGATTATAAAAAATAATTCTTATATTAATTACGAACTTTATTTATTATTACCCCTCATGATATTTAAGTTTACTAAACTACCCTTGCTGACTTTTCAGCTTACCAGACGACGTTTTTTTTTTTTTTTTTTTTTTTTTTTTTTTTTTATTCTTTTTGCAATTTTTTTACGATTTAATAATAGTATGATCCCAAATTTGGGGTAAAAACACCGTGGTTATTGTGCGAAATTTGTGATGAGGTTGAGGTATATTTTGACATTTAACTAGAAAAAACAAAATAATTTTGGCATTTTCTTAATTTGTTTGGACATGGCATTGGGTCGCCATGGATTTTTGGACAAACGTGGGAAAGAAATAGGTATGGTGCAAATGAATGGACCAAAAGTTTTACTTTCTCATGGTCACGGGAATTGTTTTTTTTTTGTTTTG